ATCCGTGACTGCTTGGTTGAGTTCCCACTCATGGTGGGTTGTAAAGTTGTGGCTTAGGGCGTCCGCCATGGTGTCGTCGACCCCTGGTAAGTACATGGCTTTCAGGATAACACTGCCTCATACACCAGTTCCAGAGGCGGACTGCCTCTGTGCACAGAGCTCTGGGATACGCTCCCCCCCTGCCTGTTTATGTAAAAGACAGTGGTTGTGCTGTCTGTGAGAAGACAAACTGCGCATTTGATTATGGAAGGGTCAAAGTGCCTGTAGGCATTTCTTACGGCCATGAGCTCCAGAATGTTGATGTGTAACAGAGCCTTGTTTGGCAGCCATTTGCCCTGGGCAGTTTTGCTTTGGAAGTGTGCACCCCAACCCAGTAGTGAAGCGTCTGTGGTAATTTGTATGGCAGGCTCCTCCTGTAAAAATGGGATTCCAGTTAAGAGGTTGTGTGGACATGTCTACCAGTTGAGCGACTGCAGTACTTGCTCTGGCACAAGCACCAGTTTGTGCAATGAATGATGTGAGGGCATGGAAACCAATGGTAGCCAATGCTGAAAGGCATGGGAATGGAGGCATGCATACTGTATCACATATGTGGTGGCTGCCATGTACCCCATGTAGTTGAAGACAAGACTGTGGTAGATGGGTTTGTGATGAGGGCAAGAATTAAATCTCAAAGGGTCTGGAACCCGTGTTGTGGAAGGTATGCCCTGGCTGATATGGCATCTAGCCTTGCTGCTATGAATTCTAAGTCCTGAACTGGATGGAGTGTTGATTTCTATTCATTGATTAAGAGCTCCAGCAGGTTGAAGAGTTGCTTGGTCTTTGTTAGGTTGATCACTTCCCCTTGTGAACAACCTCTCAGTAAGCAGTCATCAAGGTAAGGAGAAATCTTTACCCCCTGTTGTGTGAGGTATGCTGCCACAAGCGACTTTGGGGAATACTCGCAGGGCAGATGACAGGCCGAGGGAAAGGACCTTGTATTGAAAAAGGTCCCCTCCTGCTGTAAAATGAAGGAAACGTCTGTGTGATGGATGTATTGCAATGTGAAAATATGCATTTTGTAGGATGAGGACTGCGAACCAGTCCCCTCTGTCCAGCGCTCGTATGATTGTAGCCAGCATAACCATTTTGAATGTCTGCTTTCGGAGGAACTTGTTTAGTTTGTGGAGGTCTAGGATTGGTCTCCAGCCTCCTGTACACTTCTGGGTCAGGAAATAAGTGGAGTAGAACTTCCTTCCCCGGTATGGTTCAAGTACCTCCTCTATAGCTCCTAGATGAAGCAGGTTAGTTTATTGTTTGAGGGGTATCTCGTGAGATGGGTCCCTGAAGAGGGATTGGGTAGTGGAAAGGGTATGATAGAAGGAGTTGAATGGTATCGAATATCCCATGTGGATAATTTCAGATGTTATGGAGGCCCATGATGAAGGAATGAGCATAATCTATGGTTGAATAGATGGTTCTGGTTTTGTTGCACTGGATGGTTGGGGAGGTTGGGCATGCCCTCAATCAATGTTTCAAATTTGGTGCTTCAGGGTCTGACCATCAGAGGGACATGGTGGTTGTTTAGGATTCCTTTGGGTGCGCTGCCTGGTGCAATTGTACTCATTTGGTTTGTATTGAGTACGGTTGTAGTACGAGTCCCTGCTTTTATTGTAGAGGGTGTAGCACCTGCACCTGTATAGCGGTGTGTACATTCCCAGAGTATGCAAGGTGGTGTACGTGTTTTTGCTATTGTGATGAATCTCATCCACATTGCTGGCAAAAAGCTTGTGCTCGTCAAAGGGGAGATCTTCTATCTTTGACTGCAGTTCTTTTGGCACTCCCATGGCCTGAAGCCATGATGTTCTTCTCATCATGACTGCTGTAGCCATTGTTCTTGCTGCTGTGTCCACCACATCAATCACAGACAGCAGTGCTGTACAGTAAGTTGTATAGCCCTCACATAGGACTGCTCTAAGCATGGACTTCTTGGTATCAGGCAGATGCTCCATCAGGTCTGCTAGTTTGGAGTAGCTGTCAAAGTTGTGACTCGCCAGACGTGCTGAGTAATTGGTTATTCTAACCTGAAGGATGGTAGATGGGTAGACCTTCTTTCTGAATTGGTCTAGCCTCTTGTGCTCCTTGTTGTCATTATGTGATCGAAGGTGAGGGGCCATTGACTTGCCGCAGTGATGGCCAGTGAGTTTATCCGAGGATGGGAGAAAGGGATATCTTGCTCTTCAGGTGAGACGAGATATTTCTTGTCCGCCTTTTGCAGGTCGGTTGAGCCAATGCTAGTGTTTGCCAGATGTCTCCAGAGACCACCATAATTGCTTCATCTATGGGCAATGCGATTCTGCCCTGTGATGATGGGTGGATATTCTTCAGGAGATCATGCTGTTTCTGCTTAACCTGACATTTTATTTCTTGACATGTAGCAACCCTCTTAAAAAGGTCCTGGAATTGTTTCAGGTCCACTATCATGTAATCATCATCTGGGACTATGGCATCCTATGGAGGGGAAGTGGGATTGTCTTGTGACTGTGCCAGCTGAGTGTCATCCTGATCATCAGCTAACTGGCCTTCCTCCTCCTCCGAGTCGGGTATGGCTACCATAGTGTGGGATGGCGAAACTAGTGGTTGCCTTTTTTCTGAGGATGGGGCAGTAGTATTTGTGTGGTGCCCAGCAATCCAAAGGTGTCCACTGTGGCTGGTAATATGGCTGTGGGTAATACTAACTTGGGTGTCACTGTGGGTGATACGGTCATGGGGTGTAGTGATGCCCTTGTAGAGATGAAGTGAGGGATGTCTGCTGGGAGAAGAATGCACTCCTCTCATCATAGATCCCTGTTGAGCATCCCCGTCCCTGCTTTGGTGGGAAGTAGGGTGGGTATGGTGCCGGGGACTGTTCTGTTCATGTTGGCGGGGGAAGGGAGTCATCTGTACTTGGTATAGTTCCCCCTTAGCCCTGTGCAGTCTGCATATGTTTCAAAGCCCGTCTGCTTAGCCTGCAGGCTAAAGTCCTGCTGTAATGAAGGCAGTGGAGAGGCGGGTGCATTAAGCAGTGGCACTGAGGCTTTGCGTGTCCACTGTGTAGGCGGCACTACTTCTCTAGCCAGTGCCGAGCTGAGCGGCAGCCCCAAGGGTTTGCAGGGCTGCTTTGAAGCCGGCTCCACTGCTAAATCCAGTGCTGCACGTGCCTGTGCCTGTTTCCATGCCGGAGGCTGCCTGAGAATTTTTCCTGGTGAGGGGAGAGATCTCGCAGTGCTGAGGCATATGACTCTGAGGCTGCTATGTCTCTCTCATTCATTCTGGGGGACGGAGCCAGCGGCAGGCATCTGGCGGGGGAAATCCTGCTCCTTTGATGTGCCTTCAGCATTAAAGAGGCTGATTTGTGCCTGGGGACCTGTGTCCTTTGATCCTGCACAGCCTCTGCCTGGGGTTGTAAAGCCCTCTCCATATAGGACATACGGCGCCTAAGCTCTCTGTCCTCTCTCACTCTTGCAGGCAGGGTTTTACAATGGTCGCATTCCTGAGGACTGTGTGCCTCCCTCAAGCATTTGACACACTAGCGGTGTCCGTCTGAGGCTGGGATAGGATCGCTGCAGCCACCGCATCTTTTAAAGCCTTGTGAGGCAGGCATATTTCAGCAGTTGGTGGCTGGGCTAGAGGCGAGGGAGGTTAGTGAAGCTGCTGACTCCCTGTTGATGTGAGGGTGTCAGGTTGTGAAGATGGGGGTTTTTTTATGTGGGTTTTTTTTGAGCCAGCTGACAGAGCAGTGGCTGCCACTGAATCTGCTAGTGGTGAGGGAACAGTGTTCTCCAGCTTGATTTGTTTGCCTTGGAAATGGTAATAAAGTAACAAGGATCCAAGATTAATTGAGGTCAAAAGGTTGAAGGTTTAATCTATGAGGAGAAAAGTGCCTGAAGCAGCAGGATGACCCCGTCTATGGCTAAGGGCAGTAGAAGAGGAACTGAGGGGAGGGGGCCAGGGCACGCTCAACTGTGCAAGACACCAGCTGCACATGCACAGCCCGACTAGCAATTGCTTAGAAAAAGCTCCGATCAGCGGTGCCGGGACGAGCCCAACACTATACGTGGAGCACCCACGGGGACATCAACTGAAGAAGAACTATACCTTTTAATCTTATACCACACCGCCTTAATGCATGTACCAACAGAGGCTAAACTATATAGTTAAATATGGTGCTGTAAACACATTTTTTTCCTCCCCACAGGACTCCTGTTTTCTTCAGAGCACAGGTTGGATGGTGTTCAAAAAATGAATTACTGTTGTGTAGCAAATGAGGCAGTGTGCAGGAATCCTGCCTCATTTGCTTCAGAAGTTGCAAAGTGTGTAATAATTGTGGGAAGGAACTAGTGAGGGAGAAAGGTTGGTTTTATGGTGTTCACGTCACTTAACCACAAACAAAAACTGAGCTCTTTTCCTGTTTCTGCCATAGTCTGTTATGCTAAGCAAATCATTCTGGCAGGTAGCCACTAGCTGTGTATTCTTTTGATTACTGGGTGCTTAACTTGAGACACAAGAGGCCCAATTTGTGAAAACTCACATTTGCAAATGAAGTGAATGGGAGCGGTGCATGTACCTCCAGAAGAATTATCTTGTGAAATGTTGTGAAATCAGTGCCCAAGTCATCCTGCTCAGGATAGGGGGGACCATTCTACAGAGATAAATATAGCTCTGTGGTTGTTTGGGCCCAAGCTGGAACTTCGGCTCTTAAACCCAGAAAAAGGGGAAGGCTCCAGCCCAAGCCGAAATGTCAACACAGATTTATTTAGCCCTGTAACATAAGCTTGAGTCAGCTAACGCAGGCTCTGATACTCACTGCTACGTGTCGTCTTTTCCAATATTTACATCCCATCAGTGACCTTTTTAAATTAGAGATGGTTTTGTTTTTAACAGAAATGAGGTATATTCTAGTAGTTTCCAACAATGACACAGGATCATTACAACAAACTAGCATAAACAAACATATACATCATAGCTATTAAACAACTTACTTGATTAACAAGAGAGAACCCATTTCTTCTCCACATCCCTGCATGCACTTGGGCGCATAAAACTAGGCATCGTAGAGGATGCTCTATTAACAAAGGTGGGCTAAGTTCACTCTAAAGAAAACATAAAATAGCAACACCTTAATACAATTATCAAAAATATAACTTCATATGATATAAAACCACTAAAGACTTTTAGGAACAGAAAAAGGGAACACAAAACAAACATACTTCAAGGCTGTGTCTAGACTGGCCAGTTTTTCCGGAAAATCAGCTGCTTTTCCGGACAAACTTGCCAGCTGTCTACACTGGCCGTTTGAATTCCTGCAAAAGCACTGACTTCCTACTGTAAGAAATCAGTGCTTTTTGCAGAAATACTATGCTGCTCCCGTTCGGGCAAAAGTCCCTTTTACGCAAAACTTTTGCGCAAAAGGGCAGTGTAGACAGCTGAGATTTGTTTTCTGCAAAAAAGCCTCGATCGCGAAAATGGCGATAGCGGCTTTTTAGCGGAAAAGCGCGTCTAGATTGGCCAGGGACGCTTTTCCGCAAAAAGTGCTTTTGCGGAAAAGCGTCCATGCCAATCTAGACGCTCTTTTCTGAGAATGCTTTTAACCGAAAAGTTTTCCGTTAAAAGCATTTCCGGAAAATAATGCCAGTCTAGACGTAGCCCAAGTGTTTCATAAAACAGATTAAAAATGAGCTAATCTTCCCTGTTAACTTATCCCGTATTTTACCTTGGTTTGATATTGCACTTCCATGCTTAAAACCCTTAGCTTTTATTTTTCATCTTTTATTTTTAATTTTCTTCTGAATGTAATATATATCAACACTAGTATACTAGTCAATATTTTTGGAAAATTTTTCCTCTTCCTTTTGTTTGGTCTCTTATTCCATGTACTTCTGACTCTTTCAAAAGAAAATTATTTCTTATTTTACAAATTGATGTAATTTCTTCTGCCAATTCAACACCCTTCCTCCTTTCTTTTATATACAGTAATTCCTCATTTAACACGGTAAATACATTTCAGAAAATGATCGTGTTAAGTGAAAACGTGTTATGAGGGGTCAATTTTCCCATTGAAAATAATGGAAAAGGTGGGGGTTGCATTTCAAGCAGTTGGGAATGGGGAAACCCAGCTGCCGGCCTGCAAGCTGGGTCGGAGGAGAGGGAGCAAGGTGTTCGGCGAGAGGGGGTCTCAGGGGAACAGAGCAGCGAGCAGCAAACCCTCCGCCACTTTGCAGAGAGGCAGGGGAAGCCCCACGCAGCTGCCGGTGACTGGCTGGCTGGGGAAACCAAGTCGTCGGCCTGAAAGCTAGGTCAGAAGAGAGAGAGAGCAAGGCGTCTGGTGAGAGGGGGTCTCCGGGGAATGGTGTGGCGAGCAGCGAATCCTCCGCCGCTTTGAAGAGAGACGGGCGAAGCCCCACGCAGCCACCGATGACCAGCCGGCTGGGGAAACCTAGCCGATGGACTGCAAGCAGGGGTGGAGGAGAGGGAGCAAGGCGTCCAGTGAGAGGGGGTCGCTGGGGAACAGCATGGCAAACCCTCTGCTGCTTTGCAGTGAGGCAGGGGAAGCCCCGCACAGCCGCCAGCCGGCTGGGGAAACCATGTTATTTCAGGGACGGTCACGTTGTTCAAAAAAAACCTTCCCCCCCAAAAAATCATGCTATCGCAAAAACGCGTTAAGTGGGCACGTGTTGAGCGAGTAATTACTGTATGTTCTTTCAATTAACCCCTTTTCTTATAACACCCACTGCCCATTACTTGACATTTAATGTCCATATTACAGGTGGTATCCTAAAAGAGACATGTAGAGAGTAGTGGCTCAGGGCATGCGAAAGCTGCCACAGCCAAAGAAGGAATTAACTTCTGGGAGCAGTCCCAAAACTCAACTTCAAACAAAGTAGAGACAGGATATGAGAAACAGAATGAGATTTTTTTTTTTTAAACAGTTAACCCCTCCCCACTAATAGTGGATTGTTCCTAAAGAGCGCCTAAGATTTAAAAACAGATTGTCTTTCTAAATGAAGTATACACCAAAAAAGTTATTTTCTTAACAGTTAGGCTGTGTCTAGACTGCATCCCTCGGCCAACAGGGGGATGCAAATCAAGCACTTCGGAAGTGCAAATGAGCCCGGGATTTAACATCCCGGGCTTCATTTGCATACTCTCGTTCCAACGCTGTGCCAATCAGGCTCAGTGTAGAAAGTGAACGTAAACTGTAGCTGTGACTCGGCCGCGTTTCTGCTGACAGTGGGGGCTTTTTCGGCAGATCCTGTACTTGCTACACTTTACTTTTACTTTCGACACTGAGCCTGATCGGCACAGCGTCGGAATGTGAGTATGCAAATGAAGCCCAGGATATTTAAATCCTGGGCTCATTTGCACTTCCAAAGTGCTTGATTTGCATCCCTCTGTTGGCAGAGGGATGCAGTTTAGACATAGTCTTATATGCCACTTTAAAAACTTCAAAGTATATTATAAATATTAATTAAATTTCACAATACCAATGGTAACAGCTCTGGAAACTTGTATGCCACTTCACTTTTGCTTAGCAACACATGCAAACCTGTATGGGTATACAAAATAAAAGGATACATTTTAATACATACTTGATATTAGCCCCTAACAATACATTTTTTGCAACCATCTGCATGGTTTAAACCTTTCCACGCTGTTTTAAGACACAAACATCCAGCCAAAGTTCCTAAGGCATGCAGGATGCACACAATCAAATTTTCATACAACTGATCAAGACACCTGTGATGTGCGTGAGCATATCTAATAAACTTTGGATGAAGTCTGTTTCCATACTATAAACCCTGCTTTAACAAAAAAACCTTCAAGTTATCCCCTTCTCTCAATCAAACTGAGGACATAACTGGCAGCTAACGTAACAAAGGAAATTCAGTAAACATAATATTTCAATAGGTTCAAAATGGTCACCTCATTTAAACAGTGTTATTCTTTTCAGCTTTTTATGATGCACTCATCATCATGGCATATGACCCTTCCCTAACTCACACCTTCTGCCCCTTTCCCTCCTTCCCCCCACACTTATTGTACAAGAAGTAAAACTCTTTCCATTGTTCTGGAAATATCATGAAGTAACAAAAGGTACATATTAATACCTGCTTTTCTCATAAAAGAGAAATATTCCACAATTACCATCCTTTACCTGTAAGAACGAGTTACCCATGACAAACTCACTTGCTCTTCTTTCAGTCTTCACACACTAATTTTGAGAATTCAACAGGACAATTTTTTCTTAACTGCAACACTTCTGCTGCTTGTGAAGATTCAAAATAATTTGACTGTGACCTACTGAACTTGCTAAACCGAAGATCAAATGCCCATTTAATCTGCAATATTTAACTGTCAATATGCCAATCATCCTTACTACGACATGACTTACTGATTCAATTTAAACTAAAATTCAAGCAAAGACCAAGGCACATTACAGACTTATATATAGTCAGAGGTGTGAATTCCTGACCTGATGGCACAGCTCTATGCAAGTCAATAGTGTGGAGAGTTCTACTGGCAAAACTGTGCTCTTACAGTATAGCCTATTTTATTCCAGGGGCCAGTTCTACTATGCCAGTACAAAGTGCAGCTTTCTAGGAGTATCCTGCCAGGACAGTATACAAGTACTCCCATTCCTGTAAAACACTCCTAATATAGAGATAACCTTCATCTATTTCCAATACAATTGCTCAATTACTGAGCCAAAATTTAAGGTAAAAGTGCAATCACTATATAAATTCCTGATGATAACACTGGTTGTAAGGGATAGATGTATTTTACAACCCTTTCTCTTATACAGTGGTGTCCAATCTTTTCTTCCGAAGGACTGAACATATTTCAAAAATACCATAGAACCATAATCCATATTTTGTGGCAGATCCTCTGCCCTGTTCTATGCCTCTTTGTTCCACTGAGGTGACACAAAAGGAGCAGAAACCACCTGCAATCCCATTGGGGATTCCCAGGGCATTGAGGGGGCTCCAAACAGGCACAAAACCAGCCTTGCCATCTCCTACATCTCTCTTCACATGAAGATGTCTTTGGGCAGATGGATGGAGATGGCAAGAGCACACTGCGTTCTGGCTATCCTCACATGGAATGCAATCTCTTATACCTGTGTGCATGCAAGATGTGTATGTGCATTTATGTTAATTTAATTTTCTGAAATATTTTCAAAACTAGGATTATTCCTACCTGCAAGTAAACGGGAAACTGGGAGATGAATGCTGACTTTTTCCTGGGAAACACAGTATCTGATGGTCTCAACAGAGTGTCCACATATACTGAGAACGATAGGCTGTTCACCATCCGTAAAGCCACTGTGACACTGCATCAGCACAGTCAAGCATTTCTTATAAGCTTCAATGAGTACCTTTTCCTACAAAAAGATATTGTGGTTTACATACACCATGAAGAAAACAGAGTCCTTTCATATGATGTACAGTCGTTAACATACTAAGTTATGCTCTGTGTTTATTTTTTCCTCGTTTTTTTTAAAACTTTTCTTAATATAATCTTCTATTCTATTAGTCCTTTGGGCTCCTAATGGAGTATAAGGCCTCCACATTCATTCTCCATCTCTTGTGATCCTTAGTGATAGTCTTGATTTGATCCCATGTTAAGCCAGCTACTTTTACTTTGTTCAGGTAGCTTCGTCGCCATGTTTGTTCGGGATGTCCCTTCCATTCTAACACTTGTCTCATGATACATTCCTCACAGTCCTTTCGCAGAATGTGGCCTGCCCATCGACATTTTCTTTTCTTAATCTGGACTTCCAGTGATTTCTGATTTGTTTTGGTCCACAAGGTTTCATTTGGCACTCTATCGTATCACTTCAGCTGGAGAACGTGTCTCAGGCATTTATTGACAAATGTCTGAATTCTCTTAGTGTTGCTCTGGACAACGTGCCACGCCTTGGAGCCACTTAGCAGCACTGATTTCACATTGGAAGTGAAAATACATAGTTTGGTTCTTGTTGAAATGGCTCTTGTACCCCAGACTGGTCGTAGTATGGCAAAAGCTTATTGCGCCTTTCTTATTCTTGCACTGATGTCCTCTTCAGTTCCCCCATCCTTGTTGATAACACTCCCCAAGTATACAAATTGATCTACCTCTTGCACTGCTTTTCCTTCAACTGTAATTTCACCTCCCTGCCTGTTGTTAATGAACATCAACTTGGTCTTCTCTTGACTAAAATTGCGGCCCACTCGCTCAGCTGTTTCCTGTAGGGCATCTGTCTTATCTTGCATATGCTCTAATTTGTCTGCAAGCAAGGCTAAGTCGTCTGCAAACTCTAGATCTTCAAGTTTCCTAGTTTGACATTGGAGTCCCCTTCCTGAATCAGCATATGCTGTTTTTGTGACCCAGTCTAGGACAATCTTACTATTAATATAATCTTACTATTTTTAAATTACCCCAACTTATGAACTAGCCTGTGATGAGTGTGGCTCAGTAAGCTGTGGCACCTGCCTCTAGTAAAAAGAAAGAGGGCCACAGTGAGCCTCTGAGGCTAATACTATCCGCCAGTAGCATGAGACCCACAGACAGTAGATGGCACTTTTTGACACAATATACGTTACCCACACTTCTCTTCATATATAAAAGCAGAAGGAACTCACATCTAAAGCACACCAGTCCTGCATCATTGAAATAACATGTGTTAATTTCATCTGTAATGTAAATGCTGCTTCCCATTCTGGTTCCATTTCAATATGTTGTCCTACTTGACGTGTAATGGGATCCATACCCTAAAAAAATCCACAAAGAATCATACAGATTAAATATGTAATTAAAAAACCCCTAGAGGTGCCAACATAAGATTGAGTAATTACTTGTACAGTTTAAACATTCTGCTCCTTTCACAAAATTATAAAAAGGATCTGGAAAGAAATAAAAGACAATTTTTAAAAAGGGATGTTAGATAGCAATTAATTAAATAGTTGTATAACTGCACAAAATATTATCTGTTACACAACTATTCGATATTCCATGAGGGTGGGGCCAACAGCCAGTGCACTCCCAACCCCGCTCCCGGGGAGGCCCCTGACACCCCACACTGCTGCCTCTGTATCAGAGGCAGAAGCCCCATCCCCGGGGCACCTGAGCTGGCATTCCATAGATGTCTACCAGCATCCCATGGAGCAGCTTCTGTCTGCAACAAACCTGGGCCTGCCACAGACAGAAGCTGCTCCATGGCAGCCTCCCATGTGTCCCCCTCCCCCCGCTGCTGCCTCTGATAGAGGTAGAAGTGTGGGGCGGGAGGGGAAGAAAGTGGCGCGTATGAGCCAATATGCACAGGGATCTGGTTTGAAAGCCAGTTTCCTACATGTACTAGCTCCCACCTGCCCCCCTCAACCTCAGAGGTAGCAGTTCTGTCAGAGGGAAGGGGAGATGGCGCCACAGCTCCGGTATTTGTGGGGAGCCAGATTAAAAACTGGCTCCCTATGGGGCACTGGCTCCTGTTCCCCCTGCCTCTGATAAGAGGCAACAAGGGGGAGGGGAAGCATGTAGTCAATAAGATTAACTGATAAGCGTAGGTTTATCGGTTAATTGTGTACTCAACTACACGTTGACATCTGTATTAAAAAATAAAGAGGGAAAATAGTATTAAACAATTCAGGATACAGAGGTGATAAAATACTGGATTAGACTGGTCACTAGTCTGATCTAGTATGGCAAGTCCCATTTATGATTTAGGAAGCATCTTGAATTGAAGACTAAGAGTCAAGAATTCTCTCTACAAATGTCTTTAATCAAGAGTCAAATCCTTAAAAGGAAAAACTTCTAAATACCAAATTCGGTTTGTTAAAGATATTTCTAAGGATTTTTTTTTTATAAGTTTATAGATAAAAATAATTTAAAATTCAAACTGACATTCTCAAACGTGGTCGGATTAGGATAGCATGCTCTCAGCAATAATGAATTTATTAAAAGTATGAACAAAAGCTAAAAATTTGAGAGGTCACTGAATACTGAAAAGAATTATTGTTATTTGGTCAGGCCTTTTTGCCCTCATAGTTGACCTTACAAAAGCATAGTTAGTCTCAAAATACTGAAAAAAAATAGTATAACAATGTATTAAAGGATCAAAATATTACAAAAGGGAATACCATCCTGTGTATATTTAAAAGTTCATTGGGACAAAGACTTTGTTTCCCAATATGTTTGTACAGAGCTGAGTACAATTGGTAATCCTCAAATAATTAAATATCGCCACATTAAATATAGCAAAAGCTAGATAAGACAGACTAGTCTAGCTATTCTCTCACATATAAATGTAAACTGCATCATTAACATGGCATCAAACTGGTACCCTTGTTTTAATTCTCCCCCTTTTTTTCTCCCCCCCACTTACACAGAAGGAAGTTAATGTACACTTTTACATGCACAAAGTTTAGGAACATTTGTTGTGATTCTAACAGACGTGTAATTTAATCACACTACACTGAAATCAACAGAAGATTGCAAGTACTTTGATGTAACAATTTAATTAAACAAAAAAAGTGTTTTACATCTGACAACATTCATTTTACTAAGACAGAAAATTTATGGTGTTTATTTTAAAACTGACAGATTCACATACCTGCATACACTTCAGTAACTCTAAGAAGGCATCAAAACCCTCTAGAAACTTTTGCCTCAAGTCATTTGTCCAATCAGATGGCTTGCTTATCAACACATACCTGAATCCAGTAGAAAAAAATTTGTGAGTTAGTTTTAATAATTTTTAAAGTATTCATTAATTTGATTAGTATCAAAACTCTTACTTGAGATCCAAAATAAGACTCTGAACCCGCTTGAATTTGAAAGCTTGAAGGGCAGTATATCTTTCAAACTGAAATCTGCCCTGGATGTCCCGGTGCCTTAAGTGGTCCACAAATGTTCTGATGATTGTGGTCATAAGATTTTCTTCTGTTATCAGCATTCGAGCCTTTGCCAAAGTACAATAAAGTTTCTTGTAATCAACAAACATTGCTAACCAGAGAAACAGGCTAAATTAATATTGCATCTCTGCAGGTAAAAATCTATGCCTTTTCAGCCAAACCATCTACAGTATATTGCTGGTGTTCCTCTATAATTTAACATTACTTTAAAACAGAAGTTCATAAGAGAAAATTAAAATTCATCTGCAAAACTACCTACTGCCTACTCCCTGGCTATTTCAGTAAGGTAATTAGAAACATGCTGAACTTAAGTACATAAGCAATCCTATTGAATCCAAAATGATGATTCATGTGCTTAAAAAGTCAGGCACATGCTTAATACCTTGCTGGATCACGGTCATACAAAATACATGACTACACTGCATATACAACCAATTGAATATGTTGTATAAGAGCAATTTTTAATAGTCTTTCAATTAAGTTAAGCCAATATATAAAGGCTTCAGTTGAGGAAACGTGTTAGCAAAGAACCTGGAAATGAGACTGAGCCTTTGGCTCTAATTGAGTTTATTTTTTAAAATATTACCTTTATGCTTCAAAAAATATTTTCTTTGTCTCAATCCTTATTGCTACAACTCTCACCTCTTTGATACTTCCTTTCAGGATTCTCTCTCTAACACTTAAAACTTTTTGAAAAAGAGATGTATTTTGGAAACATGATTAAAAACAATTTTTATTTAAGATATCTAATTAACTAACATTACCTAGCTAAGTCCCGCAACCAGTACAAATAGTAGTGATGCCATTTTACAGACAAGCAAACTAAGATTAAGTGATACGGCCAGGGCAAGTCAGTGACAGAACTAGGAAGAGACCCCTGACCTCCTGAATCAAGAGGTAAGAATACATCATCAGCTGACACATCCAGGAGCTAGCAAACTGTTAAAAAGAAATCACAATTGAAATCAGTTATCCTGAAATCAGTTCCTAAATCATTTACCATGTTCTCCATACAGTCTTAGAAATTTTATCTGCCTTTAAATTGATTCTGCTTGGAAAACTTGCAACAACATTCTTTTTAGAAACAATTCTATGCAAGTCAGATTTTCTTTCCTCATTTTATTTAATTTCCAAAGCTGTTTTCATGAAGACAGAATCTCTGTTGAGTTCATCTACTCTTAAGTGTTCTTCACTTTAAACATTTTGTGATATACAAACAGACTTTGTGTGTCAGAAAAAATTCTCGAAATTCTGTGAAAGGCAGCCATTGGTTTTTAATAGAAAAACCGCAGCTGCTTTTGAGGAAAAACTTGCCAGCTGTCTACACTGGCCGCTTGAATTTCCGCAAGAACACTGACCATCTCATGTAAGATGGTCAGTGTTTTTGTGGGAATGCTATGCTGCTCCCGTTCGGGCAAAAGCCCTCTTGCACAAATGCTTTTGTGCAAGAGGGCCAGTGTAGACAACGCAGTATTGTTTTGCGCAAAAAAGCCCCGATCGCAAAAATGGCGCTCGGGGCTTTCTTGCGCAAAACCACGTCTAGATTGGCACGGACACTTTTCCGCAAAAAGTGCTTTTGCGGAAAAGCATCCGTGCCAATCTAGACGCTCTTTTCCGCAAATGCTTTTAACAGAAAAACTTTTCCGTTAAAAGCATTTGCGGAAAATCATGCCAGTCTAGACGTAGCCCTAGTGTAACGTGGGTCTGCCCATTTAAAAGTAAAAAAGAATGTTCTTAATTCACAGCCAAGGGGAAACTAGAGTCAGGAGAGACCTGCAAGAAGGTTCTCATGTGGAAGCACGAAGATGATGAGCTGGGGAAGCTTCACAGAATTTTATCACAGACAGAAAAAGCTGTGGTGACCCTGTCGTAAGAAAAAAGTTTAAATCAAGGCCTTCCCAAAGAAGCCCATAGGTTGGCGTGAGATTGGCTGATGTCCTTAGGCACAGAGGGAGCTGTGAAGTTGAGAGAAAGACAGACTGAAAGAATATTAAATTGGAAGCCCCAAGGAAAGGAGAACTTGAAGCTAGAAAGGCAAAGGAACTGCATGTTTATTCTGTGAGTATTTCATAAATCAGATTGCATCACAGGGATTCTTATGTGAACACTTCTGACTGTGAATGGTGGAATGGAAAACCAAGAAGGAAACTGAAGTATGGCAGCTGCAGTGCCACACCAGGGAGTAGTGTGCACCAACACCACACCCTATAACACCTGGCATGGATATTTACAGACTCTTAATTTGGCATGGTCAGAAGATGAAACTATGTATTAAAATGATAATCTCTCGATATACGTTCATTATTGAAAAAAATTGAGATGTCCAAAACAAAAGAATAGATCCACATACCCATGTGCTCAGGGACATTCAGGCTGTGTCTAGACTACAAAGTTCTATCAGAAAAAGATATGCAATTTGTGAACAGCAATTTGAGTATCTTTTCCCACTTTTCTTCCAAAAGAGGCTTTCCCAACAGCTGGCCCATCTACACTGGGCTGAATGTCAGAAAAAAAGTCTCTTTTGGAACTTGCCTTCCTCCTCATAGAATAAGGTTTACAGTGATGCCGAAAAAATGCGTCTGTTTTTCAAAAAAAAAAAAATCAGAAAAGCAGATGCGTTCCTTGGCAGAGCTTTTCTGGAATACCTCTGGTATCCCGGAAAACCTTTGCAGTCTAGACATACCTGTAGATACAGATTCAAAACTTCGCAGCATAGGTCCAACTCCAGTTCGCAAATGTTACCTATATTTAAAAACTACTAATTAGTTTTCATGAAGTCAGCAACACAGTGATTTGCACAGGAGTACTACAAATAGTCTATAAACCTCAAGATTTTAGTGCAGCTCCTAACAAATGAAACTTTCTTCCCCCGTCTTTAGTACTTACAAGTGAAGGCACTGTGAATATCTGTACCGAGAGGTCAGCAATTGAGAACTCTCTGTCGTGGTCATCTTTCACATAATCACTCTGCAATCGCTCATAGTTCTATTAAGAAGGAGGCAAAAAAAGGCAAGGAGTGCCAACTATCAGTTTTAAAAAAAGGCAAACACTACTCACCAGAGTAGGTACAGTGAAGAGTTGGACAGACAGAGCAGTCACGGACACTGCTCGCTCGTGATCATCCTCCATAAAATCTGTCTGCAACTGCCGGTAATTCTAAACAACAAGGGGGAAATTCACCTCTAATCCACACTGACCTGATGTTTGCTTTAAATTCAATCTCTAGGAGGGAGTGGTACTGAACCATCATTAAGAAACAAACCTTGAACAATGGACATGACAATTTACTGGCCCATGCATAAAATCTACTCACCCATTCTAATTACCATTAAAGTGATTAGAATATCAAGAAGCTAATTAAGAGCATCTCAAAAATTAGTTATTGTAGGAAATACTATTAAGCGCAGTTGAGTTTAGGGGTCACCTTTAACTACTACCACCAATAAGAAATAATGACTGTCTCTCAAGTAATGGGACCTTAGTAGATTGGCTGGGAAAGATAAAACATCAGAGGTGATGCATCCTGTACTAGATAGTTAATTCACCACCTGCATTAGATTGGAATAAAAAAAAAATCTATTTTCTTGACAGGTCATAAGGTACTATGATAACTACGTTTTTGAACTCAGAAGGAAATAAATAGTTCTTATTTAAATAGTCTCACTTATCAAAAACAATCCCAAGCAATACTCCAAACAATAGAGTATCATTACTTTTGTATGTCCTACTTGAAACTTTTTACCAGGCTGTATTTTGAAGCATTTTCCATTTATCATAAGAAAGGTACTTACTCTTGCAAACCGGATAGCAAAGAGTTTCTTGTATTTCAAATCCATAAGTAGACTGCTCATGAATAACTGATGATACACACTTCTAGCTCCTGTTAAGAAAATATACATATTATTTTGCCATTACTGACCAGCAGATTATCATGAAAACAACTATAATGGTAACCTTGTAAATTAAGAAGAAATTCTACTCTCCTATCCCCTATCGAAGAGGGCTTTGATAACATTTAGCAATCAATAGAAAATGGTGAAGAAAACCATCAGTTTCCCCCACTCCTACGTATTTTTTCTGTAGGGTTATTTCTTCTTCCACACATTTTTCAGCACCATTAAGGACAAAAATCAATTCTTGCAAGAAAATACAAAGAACTTAACTTTGGATTTGTCAGTTAAGAAAAAAAATAGTTAAGAATGATTATGCTTTAAAATATATGCACGCATTATTTTTACTAATTTTCCACACAAGTTCCGTCACTAATTCAGTTAAAAGTCCTATCTCTTGTTTTTAAAAACAACAAGTTTGAAGGTCACCTTTGATTAAAGGCCAGTAATTAAACACTTTAAATTGTTTAATGTGAACTATGAGACATCTGTTCCCCTAAAAAATAGCATAGTTCCATATAGAAATCTGAACCTTCATTCTACAACAGGGGTGAGGAACCTCAGGCCCAGGAGCTGGATGTGGACCTTGGCTTGCCTGGATCCAGGTCCCAAGGCTCAGGGCCCGCCCCCCAGCATTGGGGAGCCTACGCTGGTGCTCCAGTCCCCTTGCTGCTCCCCGTGGGACTGAAGCACATAAAAACTACTAGGCTGAGCCACCCAGGCTCTGATGTGCAAGAGGAATGTGGGGAGTATCTTTCACCTTCTCATTTGGGGGCCACAGTGAGGGTTTTCCCCCCCCCCCACTTCTCACTTGTATGCAGCCCCCAACTTATTTTTCTGCAGATCAGCAGCTCTTCCAAAAAAAACCTCAAAAAAGTTTCCACATCAGTGTTCCCTCTAAGATTTTCCATCCATGTGCAGAGTGAGATTTGTCTTGTGAACCAATTTGTTATTAACAAATATCATGTGTGCATGCATGCGTGCGTGTGTGTGTATGTAAGTAAAATATTATGGAAGAAAGAATACTAAAACAAGGGATAATTAACAAGGTGCATGACTTCATATTAAATAAACATTTTAAGTCAAATAAAAATAAAATTAGTACTGCAAAATGTTCAGTAGCTAGCTTCTGTTTATAGCTCTCTCCCAGACTATCCCCCAACTGGAGTAGATGATCTCCCTTCCCGCCCTATGGGACTGTTGGCACTACACAAGTTAGGATGTGAGGAATGAAGTGCACTTGGACAGTTCTCTACCTTTTCAAAATGCAACTAAAAGCCTTCAAGGTCCTATCTCTTGGATCATAAAATTTGGTTCTGGAGGACTATAATTAGAGCTCTCTTTGGCCTGTTGTGACTTAAATTCACACTTTATTTCCATTAGTTCTCTGAATAATGTATTAGAGTTAAAGGTTTATCATTTGCTCTCTAAATTCTTTATGTTTTTGTTTAAATTTACCAATTTACCTGTTTGTTCTCTTCATACTACATATGCAATAGTTTTTCCGGTCTGTACTATGCGTTAAGGATGCACCAGTGATGTGGCCATCAACCACACTCAATATTTAAGTCCAGTGTTGGAGGCCATATAGGGGAGCTATGTGCACAGTAGTCACTTTGCCAGGAGCTCTGCCCATACCTCTCCCTCTGTTGCATTTGAGATCTGGCTTTGGTTTCACCTACTTGCACATTCCTACTGAACTGTTCTACCACTGACCTATGCCCTTAGTGGCTATACAATAGCAGCCAAAGTTGTATGCAGGAGCTAATTCTTCTAATAGAAGTAATTTCTGATTGGATATTGGCCTAAAGACTCCTAGAGGATGCTGCTGCAAAAAGCAGAAAAACAAGTTCAATTTGTTTTGTAAGTAATAAATTAATATATAACCTGAAATCAAATGTCACCTTATTGTAAGTTCACAGTAAAACCTTGATAATCTCAAATTGATAATATCAAATCCAAATCTCACTATCTACTTCTTTGTGAAGATTTAACAGCCAAGTATTGTGGTGAAATCCCATAATATTAAGACATCTTTATTGTTTATAAAATACCCTTTGGTGCATCTTATTTACAATTTAAACAACTGAACATGTAAAAAATCCAAAATACTTTTTCTGCTGCAGTACTTTTGAGTTTGTGTTTTTCTGCTGACTTGCTTATTTGTAAAGCTTGCTGACTTACTATGGCTCTCCCAGTTGCCAACGTTAATTAGTGAGTTTCTACTGCATAATGTGTTCTGTGTAGTATATCTACATTACTTTATTTGGCAATAATAGGGACAGCAATAGTCTTAAGTGGGCTTTCTTTTTTTTTTTAAACTGAGGAAAAATAATTTTGACCTTAAAAGAGCAACTGATGCACACGCGGCTCTGGACGCCCACCTGAGCAGCCATGTCGTTCACTTTGTGGTTCTGCAAGAAAGTGAGCACTGCTGCGTGGCTCTGGGAAGAAGGTGGAAGGGTTTAGAATTTGTTGTGCTCAGCCACGGAAGCACGCACCTTAGAGGGAACCCTGTTGCCCATCCCTGTTCTACAGCCCATTCACCTGAGAGAGTCCACACTAATACACTTCTGTAAAAGGGAAGGGATGGCCTCAATTTCCAAAAATCCTGATGTTTTCAGTTAAACCCACAAAATTCTGAAGAGAAGGAAAATACTTTCCTTCCCCACCTCCCTGCTCCTGACTCTGATACGGAAGCAGCCGCGTGGGTGGGGGGGAGAAGGGAGGCAGCTCCACAGAGCCTGTGCTCCCACCTGCCCCGCCCCCCAAGATGCTTCCTCTATGGGAGGTAACAGGGGGGGCAGGCAGCTTTGGAGAAACCAACTTTCCACAGGTACTGGCTCCTGCCTCCTCCCCCGCTTACTGCCTCTGGGGAGAGGAGCGTGTAGTCATTTGGATTAATTGATAAGCCTAGGTTTGCGGGTTAATAATTTAAATGGCTGTATACTAACATCCCTAATTTCCATTGGGAGTTCTCAGCTCAGCAGGTTTGAATGGAGTCTGCAACAATAGCTCTGCATCTTTCTTTATCTTTCTATAGAACAAAAAAATTTTAAATTACACCATTTTGGATGAATGTGCCTCTGTCTCAGGAACTCCAAAGGAATGCATACTTATGCTGTTGTCTCTTCTCTGGGCCTTAAAGTGGCATAGCAATTTTTAGGTCAATATGTGTACAAATATCAACTTTACAGCCCTTTGAAAAGTCTGTTCTTAACAGAAAGTTCTTCTCTCTCTTCACTATACTGTAGTCAGTGGTACAAGTAGAACCCAGTACTGTGTCCAGGGTGGCAAGCAGCAATTAATAGGAAGCAGGTAAACTCTGCATAGGACTCCTCCTCCTGTCCCCATGCTCTCACTGACCCTTCTCAATGATCCACACCCCGTACCTGAGGAGAGGAGTTTCTGTCCTCCTCCTGCTGTGCTGGAGACTTCAGAACCACAGCAGTGAAAGGAGAAGCTGGGGCTACTAGGCAGTCCCATGCTGGCTGCTCCTCCAGCATGGCTCTACCACTCCAGCCCTTCCATGCAGATGTGTATCTGGGATCTGTACAGCAATTTCACCAGATGACAAGACTGGGGGCAGTACAGCCATGCCACAGGAGCTACCAACATTCTTATCCTTTCTCCACTGTAGTTCCTTGGAGAGTCTTGAGGTTCAGGGCTCTTCCAAGAACCACAGTGAGGAAAGGAGCAGACCCTCCAAGTCCTGCCCTTTGACAGAGAAGCAGGACAGAGTGCAACTCGGGGTGTTACAGGCACCAGAAGAGCTGCCAGCATTCTGCTCCTTTCCCTGCTTGGAACCACAGTGAGAAAATGAACAGAAAGCTAGTAGCTCCTCTGGTATGGCTCTATCATCCTATCCCAGCCTCCGCCCCCCAGCCCTGTCTGGTCCTCCAGCAGAGCTGTTGTACAGTCAGAGGGAGACCCTGCATGGAAGGGACTGAGACTGTATAGCTACACCGGTCTTTTTGGTATGCTATACTGGCTAGAAGTATCTTGCTGGCATGGTGCACCAGCCCAGACTGGATCAGACTACCCTACATGCACTGCTGACTATCTTCGTGAAAGGGCCATCCCAAAATTTCACAATTCAGCATATTTCAAATTTGAGAAGAGGTAAGTAAAGCACAGTAAATTTGTCAACAGGCAATTGCTTCTACAATAGATCGCAATAAAAATTGCCTAAAACATGAACAGATATGACAAAACAAAACGGTTACCAGAGTAGTTTCTGTAAGCACATACAAAGTCATTTTCATTATAAAGTTTGGTCAACTCACCTTTCCACAGTTTAGAGTCAGACAGCATTAGTTTATCCACAAGGGAAGAATTTTCACCCTCTGGTCCCTCCTGTAAACCAACCTGACACAATATTCGACGAAGGCCATCTTAACAAAAACAAAATCACAGAATAAAAATACAAAAGCTAGTTAACACTAAAATTACTTTTAGATGTGTATGTAGCATAATGGAAGTTTACATAATTTGAGTGGACATCTTTATATAGTATACTAGCTGGACTTACCTGGCGTTGTTCAGGAAACCGGAGGAACAAAATTTAGGAAAGGAGGGAACCCTGAGTCAGGGGACCCCCAGAGCCACAGACCCTGGGAGCTGATGGCTTCTGGCTCACACCTGACCCTCTGAGAGCAGCAGGACCCTCCTCCCCCTAAGACTGAGCAGCCAGCCCCCAAGAGAACAGTACACAGTCATGTGGCCAGTAGCAAGGGGACTTCTCTTTGCCAGGTTGGCTCAGGGATCCACCTGCCCTGCCTTGGGAAGCAAAAGCTCAGAGCTCACATCTAACCCTGATAGCTGGAACCAGACACAAAAGAGCCCCACTTGCAGAACGAACAGCAGCCAGCTGGCTTCACAGCAGTGTAATACATCGAGGGTTTAACCCAGACCCTCTGCCCTGCAGCAGGTACACAGATTCCTTTTGCTCGGATAAGCCCAGCGAGCTGTGCAGAAAGGCTGGTTGGCTTCCGGAGGGGAGGAGGTGGCAGGTGGGGAGCGACCCCAGGTGGAGGGAAAGTTACACGTGGGAGGGGTGCCCCAGCTCATGCCCAGGGCGTCAGGTGCCGTGGGGGGCAGGGCGGGTGCCTGAGCCGTTGTGCACATGGGGGTGGGAGTACTGCGTGCCAGCTGGAGGGAGGGGGAAGAGAGGGTCAGTTATGTAACCTCGCAGGTAGGAGGGGGTGAGTCCCAGGAGGCTACACGGGGCAGGGCGCCCCAGTTCGTGCCCAGGCCCGCAGGTGCAGGGCGGGACCCCGATCTGGTCCAAAAGTACCTTAAAACCTTCTCCTGCATGAAAGGTTATCCCATGCAAAGTTTGGTTGTGCTAGGTCTTATAGTGTCCAAGTTATTAGCGCACAAACTTACAAACATTCTCCTTTATATATTAGATAGGGTGGTACTTGGACAGATGTGGTGGAAGAAAATCAGATTCTCTGCCTATGTGGGGCACAGGCTGGCAGTTACGGAGGTGGCGGGCAAATGATGGGGAGAAGCTGGGCGCGGTCTGTGGGGGGCACAGACTAGCAGTTAGGGAGGTGGCAGCGAAGGGTGGGGTGGAGTGGGGCACTGTCTGTGTGGGGCACAGACTGGAAGTTAGGGAGGTGGCAGGCGAAGGGTGGGGGAGGGGTGGGGGCGTTGGCCTGCCTCGCCATCCCCAGCAACGGAGGAGCATCCATGCGGGCCCACAGGCCATCAGCAATGCCTCCACCGCCCACCCAGGAGTCACAACCGCCTCCCAGCGTTGGAGCCAAGAGAATGAGCAGGAGCCAGCGATGGGGTGGGAGTTTGTTGCCGTACTTTGGCCAATGGGGACGGGTGATGCAGGTGGGGGACGGGTAGCTCAGTGGTTTGAGCATTGGCCTGCTAAACCCAGGGTTGTGAGCACTGGCCTGTTAAACCCAGGCTTGAGGGAACCATTTAGGAATCTGGGGCAAATCTGTAAGGGATGGTACTTGATCCTGCTGTGAGGGCAGGGGACTGGACTCAATGACCTCTCAAGGTCCCTTCCAGTTCTAGGAGATGGTAGATCTCCATATATTAATATTAATTAATGCACAGGCCAGCAGTTAGGGAGATGGCAGTGTACAAAGGAGCTGACCCTGCTCCCCCTTCCTCCTTCTGTCTCTCCCCTGCTTGTGTCTGGCCTGGTGCCGGTTTTAACCATCAATGCCTTTTTCCATGCCAGCGTTCCTGTCTGCTCTTTCCGGGTCCACCTGCACGACGGCTAAGGCGCGCACGCACTATGAGGGCAGTTCTCCACGCGCTGCCTCTGCACAAGCGCCACAGGTCCAGAACAGCGGCGGCCTGGGAGCGCACTGGCACTGACGGAGCTAGTGCAGAAGGGGGAGGAGAGTGGTGCCCCCCATCACACCCTCCTACAGTACCTTAAAACCTTCTCCTGGAGAAAAGGTTATCCCATGCAAAGGTTGCTTGCGGTAGGTCTTATAGTGTCCAAGTTATTAAAGCACAAACATACAAACATTCTCCTTTATATATTAGATTTTTAAGATCACCAGGAAAAAATACTTGAGACCTTAAATATTTCTTCCACTCTCTTTTGCCTAATAAGAAAGGAGTTAATTTGGAAGGTGGAGGGAACACCAGAATTGCTTGTGGGCACACTCAAAATGAATAAGGGAGAAGATTAAAGTACTGTTCCACCAGACAACAAATACTGGTTCCTACTTTGCAGTGTTTTGGTCCACAGCTTCCTAATCTCATGAACCAATTGACCATATTTTCCCTGTTCCCCTTGTACAGTCATGATTCTATTTCTTGACTCCTCTGTAAGGAGCTTAGTATGCTTTGAGCAGGATGAGCAGAAGACTCCATTGTTTGGCCTCTAATGCAGAATTTCAGCCTACATATGCTGTAGTATGAAGAGAGCCCTTCAGTCAGAATTCACAAGATATTCCCCATGAAATGAGACTGCATGCCTTTCTGAACATGTGTTCAGAGCTTTATTGGCTCACTTCCTCCCTCTCACTTCTTTGCTTTTCTAATTCACTGTAACAGATATGAAACGGTTCATCAACTAAAAAAGGACTACTATTGACATATATTTAAGATGCCCAGATTTTATCTCATTTCTTTCGTTTTAAAATGTAATCAAGGGTCAAAGAGTACCCTGTTATCAAACACCATTCAATGGCAACTCTCAGTTGCTGCTCAAAACCACCAATTTTACTACACCGAGCACTTGCATATAGAAGTCAGGATTCAGGAGCACAAATCTATTCATGGACAATAGATGAAGCACATCAAAAGCTATTAATGGATTAGGCTAACACAATATGCATTTGAGATAAGCTGTTTTAACATAAAGCATTTTGTTTACTTTTAGCATTAAGTTATCCTCTAAATTATCTTCTATTCTTTAGCAAAGAAATGTTCGACTGCACCTACCTGAATATCCAATAATATTGCCAAACCAAGTCAGGAGCTTCAAACCAAAGCTCTGATGGGCAACAATAGATGAATGCATAACCTGAACTTTCAGTGGTTTTGTCTGGCGACTGGTATTTCTCTTAAAAAAAGAGAAGAGGAGGAGGAAGCTTAGTTTAAAGTGAATATCAGGAAAGACATAAGTTTTGCTGTACAAAAACACAGAATTCTGTATACCAAATTAAAACATTTAATCACAGGAATTAAGATGAAGTCCTATTACTACAGGTTGTATCTCCCTAAACCAGGTCTCTCTGGTATAGTAACATCCGTGGTCCAGGAGGACCATGGATGTTCCTGGACCACAGAGTCCAGGAACAGGAAGGTCTGGCAGTGGGGCAGGAACGTGGTAGCAGGGACCAATGACTCAGCCAAGAGTCCAGTATCAGGAGGGATGGGTGGTGCAGCTGGGAGTTTTGGCCCCACTGGCCTGAGAGCTCCAGTGGAGCCACAGCCAGAGAGCTCTGACCCCACCCCCAGCTGCAGAGCTCCAGTGATGGTGCCAGACAGCTGCAGACCTCCTTGGCTACCGCTGAGGCCAGAGCTCCCTCAGCTGGCGCAGGGGCTGTAGGACCAGGGCCAGGGCTCCCTAGCTGCTGGGGCCAGAATTCCACGGCTGAGATGCTTCAGCCGCAGCAGCATCCAGGGATCTCCGGCTCCTGGCCCAACCGCAGCGCCACATGTCTGTGGAATTCCAGCCCCAGCCGTAGAGCTCTGGCTGTGCACGCCAGCCCCAGCAGAAATGGGGTTAATGGAGGCTAGAGCGCCCCAGGGGACTGGGGCAGCAGCAGAGCTGGGTGGAGCTCTAGCATAGGGACAGCAGGTCAGCATGGGCCATTAGGGGAAGGACCTCCCTGGTTTAGCAAATCCCCTTGTTCAGGATTGGTCAGGTCCTGAGGGTGCTGGACCAGAGAGGTCTAACCTGTAATAAGCTATCGATCATAGTTTAGTAGTTTAAATAGTACATTAATAAGAAACTGTCAATTTTATTCTTAAATTTTCATCTGAAAAAAAATCCAGCATAATTCCAGTTTTCTGAATTGCCTTTACTGATATCCATAGTGTGTTCCCTTCCCCTGCCCAATATAGCCTGATTTTTTGCTATTAAAATTTAAAATTAAATTAAAAAAAAAAAGGAGATGTTTTAAAGGTGTTTTTGACCTGCCAAAAGACTACACCAAACAGGCTCTCCCTACCACCAGTTTTCCTTTCTTCCTGGACACACATTTATCACCTGCCTATTATTTATAAGTACCCAATTGAAATACATCAAGAATAAAGTATCAAAGTTAGCTCCCTCCAGAGCAATGCATTAAGAGTGATGCAGCAGCTGACTATCAAGAAAACAAATCATCCACAAAGTAAACACATTGAAATTAAAGAAATGCATTTCCCTTTGATTTCTTACTGTGATATTTATCTATGTGGTTACTCGAATTAACAAAAGGTAAAGATAATACATGGAAATGCACTTTTCAAGTCAATCGTGTCCCTTCACTAAAATGCCAAAATTTAAAAAGTCATTATATATGTTTCTGGAACCTAAACAAGCATGCATCATGAAAGCATCTTTATAGATGCACAAAAATTTTATTCTCCCCCAATATTCTTCAGTACATAAAATATTAATGGAAACCAAACAGTCTAATACTATACATAAAATAATTTTTTTCACACAGATAATTCACTTGAAAAGCTAATGGCAAACTCATCCCTGTGAATAAATTTGCTTATTTTCCTTACATTATTCAACTTTGATCTTTACAGCTTAAGGACATTTTCAGTTTTAACAATTATTTCACAGTGACTTATACTTTCACAGATAAAGTAACAATTTTCTACTACAGTAACACACAACAAATTCAGTTCCTTGACTTGGGATATTATCTGATAAAATGCAAGGTTCTAGGGATAGCTTAAAAACTATTTATAAGTTACTTTTGTTGTATGATCTGATGTGTAGTTTCAGAACTAAAAATACATGGTATACGTCACTGTAAACAGAATTCCCCATGACTTTACTGGAAAGCATTTCTTCCCACAGTAAGAAATCTGCTCCAACATGGGAGCATGAAAATTATTTCCTCAGTTCCTTTAATCAATTTCAAAAAGACATTTGTGTCACATGCTTAATCTTAGAATTTGAATTTTTTTCCTCTGTTCCTCAGAAAAATATTTAACATTACTCTAAAGTAGAATTTGCATGCCTGTATTCAGCTTAGTTTAAACTTCAAATTTTTCTAGATGTTAAAGAAGGTAGAGGCTACAATTTACACATAGGTTACATCTACACTGCAGCACTATTTCAGGATACTGGAGTATCCCCAAATATCTATCCCGCATCTCAACAGCAAGCCTGTTATTTCGAAATGTAATGGGCTCGCTATTTTGATGTCCCTGTAAGCCTCATTCCACAAGGAGTAAGGAACATTTCAGAATAGTGGGTTATTTTGAAGTTATGAAATAAGCTATTTTGAAATAAGATCGAAATAAGATATGCAATTTGCATAGGTCAAATTGCGTATCTTATTTCTACCTACAGCACAGGGTAAATGCATTTTTACAGAATCATTCATGCCTTATAGGTAATCATTATGCAATTCTGTTTCTAAAGCTTAAAAAAGGACAAGCACAGATGTAAAAGATATTCATAACACTTGCATTAAAAAACCCACAGTTCTTTGCTGCTTTTGAATATCTGCTTCTGAAGCTTATTCCCAACCAGAAAGCATCCTCCCTGACAACAGCTAGTTGAATGTCATTGTAGAATATTAGTATTTCAACCCATAACTAATTAAAAGTAGATGAAATAAATAACAAAAATTCTCTTTTTATGGAAGTACACCTAACAGTACGAAACTCCTGACATGGAAAACCATCAAGGAAAAGGAGAAATTGCAAATATAAATATTTCCATTTGATTTTCTGATCTTTAAGAGTAAAATAAAAATATTTCAACTTCTGATTGAGTACAGGCAGTCCCCGAGTTACGCGGATCCGACTTATGTCGGATCCGCACTTACGAACGGGGCCATTCGTCTCCCTGGTCTCCAGCAGACCACGGAGAGGAAGCAAAGCAGCGGAACACGTGGGCAGCGGACAGGGCTGTCCGCTGCCCGCGTGCTCCGCGGCTTTGCTCTGCTTTGCTCCCCATCCCCCTGGTCTGCAGACCGGGGGAGCGGGGGGGGGCAAAGCAGAGCCAAGCCGCGGAGCGCGCGATCAGCTGACAGCCCAGGTCAGCTGACCGCGCGCTCCGCGGCTTGACTCTGCTTTGCCCCCGTCCCCGTCCCCCTACGTACAAATTCAACTTAAGAACCCCAGGCATCCCCAAGTCAGCTGCTGCTGAAACTGATCAGTTTCAGCAGCGGCTGAATCTGGACGCCAGTTCTGACTTACATACAGATTCAACTTAAGAACCCCAGGCATCCCCAAGTCAGCTGCTGCTGAAACTGATCAGTTTCAGCAGCGGCTGAATCTGGACGCCAGTTCTGACTTACATACAGATTCAACTTAAGAACCCCAGGCATCCCCAAGTCAGCTGCTGCTGAAACTGATCAGTTTCAGCAGCGGCTGAATCTGGACGCCAGTTCTGACTTACATACAGATTCAACTTAAGAACCCCAGGCATCCCCAAGTCAGCTGCTGCTGAAACTGATCAGTTTCAGCAGCGGCTGAATCTGGACGCCAGTTCTGACTTACATACAGATTCAACTTAAGAACCCCAGGCATCCCCAAGTCAGCTGCTGCTGAAACTGATCAGTTTCAGCAGCGGCTGAATCTGGACGCCAGTTCTGACTTACATACAGATTCAACTTAAGAACCCCAGGCATCCCCAAGTCAGCTGCTGCTGAAACTGATCAGTTTCAGCAGCGGCTGAATCTGGACGCCAGTTCTGACTTACATACAGATTCAACTTAAGAACCCCAGGCATCCCCAAGTCAGCTGCTGCTGAAACTGATCAGTTTCAGCAGCGGCTGAATCTGGACGCCAGTTCTGACTTACATACAGATTCAACTTAAGAACCCCAGGCATCCCCAAGTCAGCTGCTGCTGAAACTGATCAGTTTCAGCAGCGGCTGAATCTGGACGCCAGTTCTGACTTACATACAGATTCAACTTAAGAACCCCAGGCATCCCCAAGTCAGCTGCTGCTGAAACTGATCAGTTTCAGCAGCGGCTGAATCTGGACGCCAGTTCTGACTTACATACAGATTCAACTTAAGAACCCCAGGCATCCCCAAGTCAGCTGCTGCTGAAACTGATCAGTTTCAGCAGCGGCTGAATCTGGACGCCAGTTCTGACTTACATACAGATTCATCTTAAGAACAAACCTACAGTCCCTATCTTGTACGTAACCCGGGGACTGCCTGTACTGAGGATTACAGAGATGGAAATATTAGTGGTCAAAACTTCTCTACACCGAGATTCTTATTTCTGGAAGTGCCATGGTATTACAATTAGGGCACCAAAAAAAGTGAGAGAGTATAAATAGACATTGTATCGCCATCCTCAAACTCCAACACAAAGTTATTAATAAATATTAATATTTTGCACAGAAAATATCAAAATAATACACACAGTATTATTACACACACAAGTATTTCAAAACTGTGCTGTACTGAGAAGAATGGATTAATTATGTAAGATCACTCACCACTATTACTGATTTTGCTTGGTCACAATACTGGAAGTCTCCGTATCGGACTGATCTACGTCCCTTTAAATTTATAAAAAAACAAGACAGTAAACAACTTGCTGAAATACAAGGATAATCTTAAACTCTGAATAATATAAATGAAAACAATAAGTCAGCACTTACGTTTACCTTATTTGCAGTTACTTTCTAGAGAAAGTGCTCTCTATATAATCCTAAGTATCTGAGAATTTATTATATAAAATGTCTTGTTTTTAATACCTTTAAAAGAAGGTACATTATATAGCTTGCTAGGGCCTATAAGTTCACCTGAATAGTATAATAGCAACTACAGCACTGGCTTTATCTGAATATTCTGGAGATCCTCTAACAGTGGTTCTTTCTTTAGTATTAAATAAGCCTATTAAAAGTGTGCACAGTTCATGTATTCATGATATTACAAAAATGGTTTACAAGTTTATAGTACAGATGAACTGGTTTCCTTTTAAAACATCAATTCGAATGCCAGTCTCTCAGCTTTTCTTAAATGTGTTCAGAGATGCAGCAAAGTTCAGTTAAAAAGAAATTAAACACAAATCCTGGAAGTATGAACCTACAATATGGGGGAAAATCTGGCATTTCTGGAGCCTAACCAGGGGAGCATCTCAAATTACCATCAATTAGTACTTGTATATTACAAAAATATTATGTGGAACAGGGAGAATAACTGAAAAGAGTCACATCCAACTTTAGATATTTTGAGGCCCCCAAACTCTTACCTCCCTTAAACAAAAGAGAACAGCTTGAAAGAAGGACTTAGAGGAAGTGCCTACCCTAAAGGAGATGGCCAATGGTTGATGTAGAAATGAGACTGTACCTTTCTAAGGTGCCACAAACTTAACCTGGAAGAACAAAAATTCCATCCTCAAACAAAATACGTAGTCAGTTGTAGGAGGTGCAGAGCAAGGAGGATGATCCTGAGAAGATCAGTGGGTTCCTTATAGTAAGCTCAACTATGCGCTTAACTCCCTGCTCTCTCCAGCTCTAGTTGTGAAACAGCTATCCCTTTTCTATTTCCTCCTGAAAGCCTTTTATTTACCACAGGCCAGAAGGGAGAAAGAATACTGGGAAGGCTCACAATCACTTAAAGAAAAAAAGCATTAAGCGTAGTCATATATAATTCACCATAATCTTAAAGTTCCAGTAAGGAAGTTACTTACATCTCTGTCTACTGTTGTTGCAAAGCCAATGGCCTCTTTCTGAGTACAGTTGACAGCTTTCTGGAGAGTATATATAACTTGTTCATATGTATGGACTTCATCATTAAAAAGCATGCAGTAGTAAGTGTCACTCTTCTCGCTATAAAATAAAGAGTGCATTTATATAATTAAGTGCTTAGTTTCTAATTTTAATAATTTTCAACAAATCAGATATCTACATTTGGGTTAATCCTAGCACTAATGACGTACATCAACAGAGCTTTATCCAGAAGCTGCTGAGTGCCTTCAACTCCCTCTGAAGCCAATGAGAGTCAAAGGCATTCTGCACCTCAGAGGACTGCTCAACACCCTGAAGGATTAAGTTGTTAGTGAGTAAAGATGTAGAGTACAGGCAGTCCCCCGGTTACGTACAAGATAGGGACTGTAGGTATGTTCTTAAGTTGAATTTGTACGTAAGTCGGGTCCCCCAGGTGTCCCCGATTCAGCCGCTGCTGAAACTGACCAGCGGCTGACTACAGGAAGCCCGAGGCAGAGCTGCTTTGCCCCCGGCTTCCTGGAATCAGCTGCTGATCAGTTTCAGCAGCAGGGGGGTTGGGGACACCTGGGGGAGAGCAGCTGGGGGGGTGCCCCGGATGGGTCTCTCTGCCTGCTGCTCCTGCTGTTCCCTAGGAAATTAATTTTTCCGCTCTGGGGTGCCCCCTTTTGGCTGGTGTCTGGTTCCCCCCAGTAGACCCGCATCTTCCGCGGCGAGAAAAGCCGCTCCGCGTCTCTCTGGTCAGCTGGGGGAGGGACGCTAGCTCTGCATCTCCCTGGTCTGCTGGGGGGAAGCCCCCCCCGCGGCGCCAGAGGAGGTGCCAGTGGGGGCGCCAGTGGGGGAGGCACCCCGCACTAGCTGTGCTGCCCCTCTCCCCCCCCGTTCGTAAGTAGGGGGTCGGACTCAAGTCGGATTGCCGTAACCCGGGGACTGCCTGTATTAAATTAGTCTGACAATTCTTGATTTTACTTCTGTGCACTTTTTATATTCTAGATTAGCAATATTCTCCTATACCTTTGGCATTATATTTCTACCCCTTTCTTTTCTAGATCTCCGTAATGGTCTCTCTCCACCAATCAACTAGAATCTAGAAAGTTTTGCAAATCTATGTTTATCACTTCAGACACTAAACCAATAAAGCCATCAGATCAGTTCTCTATTACTGTCATCAAAAAAATCAAATCACTGTTATATGTAATTCGGTATCTGCCACTACCATAAACTCTATTCTCCCACAAACCAGAATTAGACAATACCAATGTAGTGGAATTAAATTTTAAATAAATATGTTTTAGTCCCGGTGCTATTAATTTCAATCTATAGCAGTGAGTTCCCAAGTTGAAATTCATGGACCAACAAAGGGCAGGAATTTGAATTGAGCTGCTTAGTCAGAAGGATTGAAAGGAAAGAGAGATGATCCACTGTATGAGCCCCATGTTGAAGTGTTTTGAAATATACCAGTCTACATCATCTTCCTACTCGAGTTCAAGGAAGACAACATGAAGACAGACATCAATGGTTCAGGAGCCAAATTAGTGATCAGCATTACACAAGAGAGTCACAGTACTGTGACTTTCATTTATATTTAAACACTATGACAGGGGAAAGATTTAGCATGTGTATACATATGTATATATATATATACACATATACATACATTTTACAGCAAAGAAGTTAATAACTTAGTGCAAGTTATGTTAATTTGCTAATAACATAGTAAAAACATCCGAACTGATTTAACAATTCAAATCACACAGCATTTTAATACCACGTGCTGCAAAGAGCCACAGTCTGACTGTCACTGATGTAGACTAAAGTGATCATTTAGGTTTTATACATTAAGCACCTTCAAGTCTTGAAAACCTCAGGCAAAGAATATACTTACATGGTCTCTAAACCAGGTGGCAATTCATTTTCTTTTTCCCATGTTAATATATCTACTGCGTACTGAAACATGATAGCAAAAATGTTATAAGATCTTGCTATCATATCTTCCGACAAACGCACCAGAGGATCCTGAAAAGTGAAATTGATTACAGTGAGATAGTAAAAAAAATTATAGGAAAATTAAACAAAGAAAAAGAGCAATAACAAGAACTGTTAGAGTTTGGGCTCAGATCGCCAGTTTTATTGTAATGACTCACTGAAATGACTATAGTCTGGTGGGAAATCTGTACTGAATTCACCCCAAATGCATGTGAAAAAAACAGAAATGGTCCAAATTATATATCACCTCCAGTAAGCAATTAGATGACAATGGGGGAAGAAGGGTGGAAAAGGAAACTGAGAATGACTCTCTGCACCCAGAACTGTTTCAGTTTTCATGTCCCTGCTTTATTTATTTTAACTGATACTGTATCTTTGTAACTTAAGAGCAGAGCAGAATAAAACGCAAAAGAATATACTGTTGATTCACTGAGCCAACAGCAATGCAATATCATTGCCTTGTGCTATAGTCTGAGCAGACTGGCAACTAAAATGAGCAGATATTGGTTCTGTTTTTTGTCCAGAAATAGAAACAAGTGATTAGATTGTGTAACTATCACATTTCAGCTTATTTATTTAATTGAAATCCTTTCAGAACTATATGACTACAGAACTTGGATTCTTAACAGGGATGTTAAAATGTGTTGATGTAAATGTGTAACCACTGAATTTTCCAGCAGTTACATGTTTACATGCAGGGAGAGGGAAGCTTTTAAGCCAGCTCTCTGCCAGCACCAGCTCCTGTTTTCCTTCCCCTCCTCCGCCCGCACTGCTGCAGTGTTTGCAGGGAACAGCTTTTAAACCACCACCCTGTGAGCACCAGCTCCTACCTGTCCCCATCCCCACTGCACTGCTCCCTCTGTGGGAGGCAGCAGCACGCCCAGGGGTAAGGAGGGACAGCTCGGCAGGAGCGGACTTGAAAGCCAGATTTCCAGATGTACAGCTCCCACCTGATCCCTCCCTTGTATCAGAGACAGCAGTGCAGGCAGGAGGCTCTGTGGGAGCCAATGCTTGAGTCCTCTTCCTACTGATGCCTCTCTATCAGCTTTTAAGCCATCTCTTCAAATGTGCAGGCTTCCAGAGTGCCACCTGCCCTTCTCCCTCCACTGCCTCCCACAGAGGAAACAGCATGGGGGTAGCAGGCAGGAGCTGGTGCTCAGGGGAAGCTGCCTGCACCCCCATGCAGCTGCCTCTGCTAGAGATACAGCAACATGGGGGGAGGAGGTACTAGGCAGGAGCTGTTACATACGAGAAGCCAGCTTTCAAGCCGGCTCCCTCTACATACTGGCTACCCAGGAGCCGACTTGCCTGCTGCGCTACTGCCTCTCAATCAGAGGTCAGGGGGAGCAGGCGAGAGTCAGTGTTTGCAGGGAGCTTGCAACATTTAAGCCGGCTCATCACAAGCACCAGCTCCCTCCTTCCCTCCTGTGTGTAAATGTATAAACGTTACATATTTACACAAATACATGATTAACAACATCCCTAGTGAGAACATAATTTTAACATATCCTGTTACTGAGGACTGACTCCTTATTCATCACGTATCTGTTTCTCTGTATCAAACATACCAACGTAACCATGTAAGCAATGTAACTCAGTACAATGCACATAAATGATACACATTTATTTTAGAATCTGTAACTGGAATTGTATCATCAGGATTGTTCAGATTTTCTTGAAAATTAAACAGAAATCAACTACAGGCAGTCCCTGGGTTACGTACAAGATAGGGACTGTAGGTTTGTTCTTAACTTGAATCTGTATGTAAGTCGGAACTGGTGTCCAAATTCAGCCGCTGCTGAAACTGATCAGTTTCAACAGAGGCTGAATCTGGATGCCAGTTCTGACTTACATACAGATTCAACTTAAGAACCCCACGCGTCCCCAAGTCAGCTGCTGCTGAAACTGATCAGCGGCTGATTCCAGGAAGCCCGGAGCAGGGGCTTCCTGTAGTCAGCCACTGGTCAGTTTCAGCAGCGGCTGACTTGGGGACGCCTGGGGCAGAGCAGCTGGGGGGG